GGTGGGTTAGTAAGTAAATGTCATACTATTTTAACAAGTACATTAGACAAGATGAATCATGATAATTTTTTAAAGAGTTAATTGCATCATATGTCCCTAAACTATAATCCTCAATTTGAATTGATCCTTAAATTTTTGAATATTCCAATTTCACCCTCATACTATGACTCTCATTTTAAATTAGTCCTTTAACTTTTGGACATTCTAATTTCATCCCAAATTATGACTCTCATTCTAAATTGATCCCTAAACTTTTGAATATTCTAATTTCATCCCGAAATTCATCCAAATATATAATTAGTTTCAACCATAATTTTATTTTTTAAAACATATAATAATTTAACTGGTATATATTTATAGATTGGGATGAAATTGGAATATTCAAAAAATTTGGGGAGTAATTTAGAATGAAGGCCATAATATGGGGATGAAATTGGAGCATTTAAAAGTTTAGGGACCAATTTAGAATAATAGTCATACTTTGAGGACATGTGATGTAATTAAATCTTTTTTAAAACATAAAGTTAAACAAAACTAAAAAAAATTGAGGTTTGAATTACTGATTGTTAATTAACTAAGGGAAAAGAGAAAGAAAAAAAGAAAAAAAGAAAGAGAAACAATAGGAGAGAAATGTTCATTCAATTAGTGAAATCAGTCACAATCCTAAGTTTGGCTTTTCATGTTGTTGACAGTCATTTTCGTCCCGTATTTTTATATTATTATTATTATAATAATTATATTATTATTACAAATAATACGATAAAAATAAAGGCCCAATCCTGGAGGCCCGTTTTTTATATCTAATCTAGGAAAAACTTTAGAGTTCACCAACCCTAAAACTATTCCGGCCGCCGCCTCCAGGTGCCCCAACCGGTGACTGCCACGCCGCCGCCGCCTCCAGTGACACCTCACTACCGCCATTGTCACCATCAGATCTCACCAGAATACTCCAGAAGCCGCATGAGAGCCGCACACCTCGCCCTATGGTGAGTCACCATAGTAGATCCGGTGACTCACCAAAATGAACGGTTATCTGAGGCCTTCCGAGGCCTATAAAAAGTCGATCTTGCAAAGCAAACAAAAAGGGGGAGAGAAAAACGGGAAGAACGATAAGAGAGCAAACAACACCAACAAGCAACAAACAAACCAAAAGGAGAAGAAAAGAGAGGAGATCTTACCTTCGTCGAAGCCCAAACGTCATCGGAAAAGTTATTTTACCTTCGGTAAAATCTTAGATCTAGGTCGTTTTGAAGTTTTTTAGAAAAAAAAAGAGGGTGGTTTTGGGTTTAGGGTGAGTTAGTCTACAATTTGAGCTATTTTTATTTTTTTCGGCCATGAATTAATGGTGAATGAAGAATCAATGAAAGAAAAAAAGTTCCCTTGTGAGAGATAAGCTTTACCCAAAGAAGATGGGTATAGAAAAGGTTCAAAGGCTGATCAAGAAGAAAAAGAATATGCAGGGTTTTCAATTCCATCCTTTCCACTTTTTGAATAAAAATTTGCATTCAAACATGCTCTCAGCAGAATTAATTACTCCACGATATGTCCAGCCATAGTGGCCTCCAAATGAAAAATGGACCTATAAGGAGGTTCCTTGGATAAACGAGACTGGAACTCCAAATTGTTTAGCTAAGGTTCCTAGTAACCTTGAGGGAAATCTCCAAAAACCTTTAGAGCAAGCAATTCAAAAGTGCAAGGTAGAAGAAGGGGTTAAGGTTCAATACTCAGAAATCATTGTCTCGACAGAGACTAATGTGATCAAATCCTGTGAAGAATATCAGATGTAAGAAAATGGAAAAAGAAATCAAAGTAAAAAGGTTCTCATGGATGTAATTCGAGATTAGCCCATAGGTTTAAAAATAATATGGGAAGATGCCACCATGAAACATCTCAAACACCCATATCAGACTTCCTGATGACAGATGGGGCTTTGGACAGTTTAGAGAACCTGACGAATACTACGCCCATCGCAGCTGCAATATGTGTTCAGAACCAAGACAAAACTATTGTCACCAATGAGAATTGTTTTGAGCCCAACTTCCAATTGATAAATGAGGAGATGAGATCTGAACAAAAAACTGCTAAGAAAGAAGTAAAAACTGGTGCGTCTGAGAAATCATCCAAACGAGCCCAGATAAGAGAAATGATCAAAAGATGGGGGGCAAGTAAGGATAAAGACTCTGGTTCAATTATAAACCCAATATTCTAGGAATGATAGGGCAAGCCTAATAAACAAGTGGAAGTTGTTATCTTCCACAGTTGCATTTCATTTTCAGCATCTTGTTTGAACATGTTTTTTTTCCCTTTCTCCGTCTTTTTGTGATAAATAAATTTGTGTTGCTTTTAATGTTATGAGCATTGAATCAACTTTGAAATCTTGAAATTCTTTGAGTATCATTAGATTAAAAGCTCTTTACGATTAGAGTTATATATCTTTGACAAAAGTATCAAGATTGAATACCAAGAAAAAAAAGACCCTGACCTTACATCAGAAGAAATACATCCCCCAAATATTATCTTTCCACAATTATGAGAGAGCTTTCTCCAATGTAAAGAATTAGACAAAAGGTTTGATATTGATATTTAGAAGCATACAACGTGGGGCATCTTTTGTGACATTGCAAAGCTAGCTAGATTACTTTTCTATTGATGAGGTTCGACGATGAAACTTTGACAAATCTAGTCTAAAGTTAGCTGATGGTGAATTGAAATTTGGTAATGAGATTTTCTGACTTTCACCTAACACTCACTTTTTCGAGACGAGATTTAGAAAGCAACGACACTTATTTTCGCCGGGCGAAAAATCGTCTCGACACATGTAAACTTAAAGTTGGGTCAAAACCTGTAAAAAAATTTAAAATCCTATCATAATAAGATTCACCTATAAATTTTAGTCGTATTTTTAAGATATCATGTAAACTTTGCAATTTGACAGTTCAGATTAATTGGCACAAAAAAAGACTCTAAAGCAACCACCAGTCCACAACGAACTCACCACCATATATTATAGTATAATATTCATTATTAAGACAAGTCTATAAGCAATGACAGATGATTCTTTCATGTGGATGTTTCTTACAACAATCATAAGTACATGGGTTTACTTTTGGTTTGGCCTTAAAAAATAATCTTTTAACACAACCCTTCCCTTCACTGATTTTATGGGTTAGGGTCTACTTACACAATGTAAAACTTTTTTAATCTTATATAGATTTAGAACCGTAATGATTGTTCTCGTACACTTTTAGAACTATATGCTGTTAAGAAGGGTCTGAGTAAATTCCTTGATTCTGTCTGGTATAAAATGAATAGATTAGTATTGGAATCAGATTGCAATTTGGTTGTTGATTGGGTATCGTTAAAATTTGAACCTCCTTCGAATATTCTTCCCATGGTTTTGGAGATTTCTGCTGTTATTAAGGCGTTAGGCATAGTTGTTAGATGGATTCCTCGATGCTGCAATACATTTGCTGACTCTCATGGTCTGCATTGGTTCACCTGGCCTTTCCGATTGAGATATGAACTGCTATACTCTTGGAGATAAAATGGGGGTCGGGTTACATGGGCATTATATATATGGTGGTTCCTTTAAGGTTTTTGTTAGTGGTATTGTCTCCGTGGTTTATGTGTGTAGTTCGAAATTATGTTTCCGGGTTAATGAAATCTAATGGAGCACTCCTTTTCCCTTCTACTGTCGCGATCGAGTTTTGACTTGATCGAGTTAAGAAAGAGTTTTAAATGAGGCTCTCCTTTACTTTTTCAAAAAAAAAAAAAAATTAAGACTACCGCATTTGATTTACAAAATTTGTAAAAAATAATAAAATTGAATATAAGATTGTAGAGATTAGCAATTACAGTTGGAGTATGAAACTCCATAACTTTAATAGGACAACTTATAATTTCATTAACCAAATTCATGGGAATTCATGACGTGCTTTTTCAACAGATCTTTAATTATTTTTTTTTTGTGAAAATAAAATTACATTGGTAGATCTTATCACTTGATTTGTAGAAGGCATTTCTAAGAGATAGAGTAAAGTAGTAAATTTTAGCTTTATTTATGAAAGAAAGGAGTATAAAAGTATTTAAATTTTTATGTGAGATTGTTGAAAATTTTGAATTTTTATCCATTCAAAATTATTATTATTTACTTCCATGAATGTATTTTTTTTTAAAATTATAAAATATATTAAATAAAAATACTATGGTTTGAGAAATAATAATAATAAAGTACAATATTAAAATAAAAATTAAGAAAAACTAAATATATGTGTATGTCATTAAAATATAATAATATATAAGAGAAATAAATAAAATACTAATTCACGTGATAATACAAAAAATATTATCTAGCTCAGTTGGTAGAGCACAAGGTTCTTAATCTGGAGGTCGTGAAATTGAGTCTCATGGAGGGCATTTCATAATTCGGAGGTCTCCTACGGAAGCTGCTCTCAACCTAATATCGGGGACAGCCTACTATTTTACCTCTCCTTATCCCGGGAACAAGGGACACCCACGTGTCAATACAAGCTAAGCGGTAAAAACAGAAGCATTCGGCACCGCTAAAAGAACCGGATCTTCCATCCCGTTTACTCCCTCCATATGCACCGGTGCTCGTCTCTTTTTTCAAATTTAAACGAAAAAAAACAACTAAAAAATTGGGGAAAAAATGAAGAAGAAAAAGTTAAACCAGACATGTATAAGTTAGCAACAATCACCGGTCATCATCCTCCACGGCGCATTTTAGAACATGTGTGTTTTTCATTTTTGATTTCCGTCTTTTCACTCGTTTTCAAGTTCTTTATGTTTTGGTTACATTCAAGAGACGAAGGGAAAAATGGCCATTGTCGTGGCATTTCAAAAATTCAAAGCTAATAGCGAATGGTCTCATTTCTATCTTACAGGTATATTCATTTCTTCTTTAAATGACGTATCGTTTTTGTATTATTTATATATTACACCAACGCTTTTCTTTCTTCAAATTCTGTAGTTTTTGGCACATACAAATGTTACCTTCCCACTTTTGTTCTTGAATGTGTTTCCTTCTTTTAATGCTAAACATGGTGAGTTCTTTACGTTTTGATTTTGCGGAGAACTCGGCCGTTTTGAGCTAAATCCACCTCTCCTCTTTTTCTCTATTCATTTATCGTTTTGATTTTGGTTTCTGCTCTTTCTGTATTGCTTGATCCTTCTAAAACGACAATGTTTCCAATAGCTTTGTTAGGTCATATTGACGAGATATTAAGTCTAATGAAAAAATACTCTCTTTAACTCTGTACAAAGATTGGAGTTATAAGCAATATGATTTAATTTCTGAATCTCTGTAACTTTGCCTTTGATCTCTCAATTGTCAATGCACACGATTAAATATTAACATTGGACGGGTTAATTTTTAATTGCTTTTTGAACTTTTTTGCAGTTAACATCAGAGAGTTTTGTGTTTAGTTCTGGGGAGAGTGTTTATAGTAACGTCGAAATGCGGGGACGACACGCGGATTCTTATTCCATGTACAAGCGTGGTAGCAGAGACCACATTATCAATGCCTATGACTATGACAAAGAACAAGGTTCACGGGTTCTTTAATTCCCCCCCCCCCTTTATTTGTTTATAACGTATAAGAAAAAAAATTGCTTTTGATCAATTTCCCTTTGTAGTGAGTTTATTAAGCACAAGTTTTACTATTAATTATGGCGCAGCAAGCTACTGAAAAGTGGTTAGTTATCAGGAAGCAATCTATATAACCTTTGTTGAAGTTGCATTAAGTTCAAAGTTCTTTGTTTTGCTTTTTTATGTTATTAGTTTTTAGTATCATTGATATCTCCATGCTTTTGATCTTTTTGAAATGGCTTGAAGTCCCCCTTTTTGTTTTGCTTATATTTGTATAATTTTATATTTTTTTGAATGAAGTTACCTTTATTAGTTTCAGAAGGTACTGACAGTTTTCTGCTTGATTATGTTGGCTTTTAAGTACGATTACTGAATGGAGTAGGCAAAGATATTGGAAACCCTCCTTGGAAGCGATCATTCCCGTATATACTCCTGGCAACCTTATCTTCCTTCTTATTTGGTTACCATCTTGGGTATGTTCATTTTTGGATTTTTTTGGGTAAATCTGGAAATTCTGCAGACAATGTATTGTTAATACTTGCTACTGTTGATGCAGAGTAGTTAATGAAACGCTAGAAAGTATTTCACATGACCTTGGCTTTCATGGGGATACCATGGCTGAAGGTACTGGAGCAACGAATTTGTAGCTCGTCTTGTTTGAAAAATCACTCTAATGTGTTTTCTTTTGTTGAAACGAAGGCCTGGTTGTAAGTACATGTTTAGGGGGTGCCTTTGTGGGATCGTTGTTCAGTGGTTTGATTGCAGATGGGGTTGGGCGTCGCAGGGCATTCCAGCTGTGCGCTTTACCTATGATAATTGGATCTTCAATGAGGTAATTACAATATTAATTCCTAGTTTTTTTTGTTTTGAGTTATTTCAAATAGGCCATCCATTATGCTCAATGCTTTATATGAGCGTCTGGGAGGGTTTGTTCTGAATTTGACTTTTTTGGATTTTAGTTCAGCTAAAATTCATTAGGCAAAATTTCAGTTTAAGTTAGGAGTTTTTTGACATCTTGCTTTGTAATATTTTAATATCGATAATTGTGTCTTCATTTTGCTTATTTGTATAAATAGAAAAAATATTCTTGCAGTGCAACAGCAGAAACCTTTTGGGGCATGCTTCTAGGGAGGTTATTTGTTGGGACTGGAATGGGTATTGGCCCTCCTGTTTCGGCTCTTTATATGGCAGAGGTATTAATGTACTATTTTTCTGTTATATTGTAAGACTTCTTCTCTTCTTTCCTTTTTTTTTCTTACACATAGTAATGTGATAAATGCCCAGGTTTCTCCAGCTTATATAAGAGGTACATATGGAAGCTGCAGTCAAATCGCTACATGTTTAGGATTGATAGGTGCTCTATTTATGGGATTCCCTGCTAAGGAAACCGAGGGTTGGTAAGAAACGATGTGTGAATTAGAAGTAGTTGTACCTATGGAAATGATGATCAACAAAAAACTTGTTTCAATATGTGGTTTATTGTTATTTGAAGCAAAGCAATTTTTAGGATGGCACTACAAGAAGATGTGCTTGGTTCCCCATTCTTGTTTTCAAAAGAGAAAAGTCATCTGAAGAACATACTTTGACAATTTGGATTGTGCTTTTCTGACTCATAGGTTGATAACATAATTCATAACTTGATGATGTGCACAGGTGGCGCATATGTTTCTGGGCATCTCTTGCTCCTGCTGCTATACTTGTTCTTTTTATGGAATTTTCTGTAGAAAGTCCCCATTGGCTTTTCAAGGTTATTTGCTCTACCTTCATCTCACTAACAATAATTGTAGATTCCCGCATTACATGATCAACATCCTTTAACTTTCATCTTTTCATAAAAGAACTTGGATGTAAGTGATATTTAAAAAAAAAGTCCATATTATGTTCACATTTTATTATCTTATATTCTTTGGAACTGCAAATAGTTGGCTTTACATATATCAATGTATCATGCATTACCACTATCACTTAAAATAACTTAGATTTCAATTGTAATTAGATTTAAGGATCTAAATATAAAGCCATTGTACGGAAGGATCTTTCTGAAAAATTATTCAACTGAACAAAAATTTGATAGTGTGTTAGTTTCCATTCTGACTACGTTGTCAAGTAAGTTCTTAGAAGTGACTATGATGCAGGTGCTCTAGGGCTGACGCATTTTATTGTTTTAAATAGACTCGTGGAGGCCGAAACTTTGATTGATGGACCAAAGGAGAATATATAATATACTAACAGAAAAACTAGGTTCATTTCTGAGCTATGGGTGCTAGCTACTATATCCTGAAATCATTGCTTCATACTACGGCCTATGGGTGAATTTCACCCTATATGTATTACGGGGGGGGGGGGAAAGACGAATGATATGATCAATTCTCATTTTTTATCTTCAAGTAGCTTTTTAGCTGTGTCAGTAGCCTCTCATAAGCTTTATGAACTTGCTTCAGAGAGGACGGGGTGCTGATGCTGAAGTTGTGTTTGAGAAACTTCTGGGAGGACCACATGTCAAAGTTGCAATGGCTGAATTGTCAAAGTCAGAAAGAGGGGATGAGTCAGATACAGTCAAGCTCTCCAAGCTACTTTGTGGCCGTCATCGTAAAGGTAAACTCTGAACATGCTAATAATTTTCAGTAAGATTTTAAGTTAGTATAGTTTTCTTATTAACTTCTTCCTTTGCAGTTGTTTTCATTGGATCTCTTCTTTTTTCTTTACAACAACTATCTGGAATAAACTCTGTTTTCTATTTCTCATCGTCCGTCTTTAAAAGTGCCGGTGTACCCTCACAGTCCGCAAACATATGTGTGGGAATTGCCAATTTGTTAGGTATAAATCACTACTTCACCATGTATCTAACTTATGCATCGTGGAATATATATATTTTTTAATTTACTGCTTATACGTCTTCAGGGTCACTTTTTGCATTGCTTTCAATGGATAAACTGGGAAGGAAGGCACTCCTCATTGCAAGTTTTTCAGGAATGGTAAAGAGAAGATTTGGCTTGTCGTTTACTGTTCGGTGCCTATTAGCAGCATATCTAAGATATCATAGTTCCTATTCCTAATACTAGTATGATTTATTTTCTGTAGCTGCTTGTGGCATTTATAATTTGGCACTAAATGTTGAATTCTATTAGAGAAAGCATGAGCATTATTGGACTTTGTTGTACCAATAAAATTTGTAGCCTTTTTTGGCACTGATTTATTTGATTTTTGCTTCATGCTTTTGTGTTTCAGGCAGCAGCAATGGGTATTCAGGCAATTTCAGCTAGTTCCTTATTCGTGAGCAGTAATGTAATTTATATCTCTGTTGGAGGCATGCTGTTGTAAGTTAATAATCCTTTGAACATCAAAATGTTTCTTTCTAGAGTGGAATACGCTTATTAAACCCCTGAGGCTTAGTGTCACTTCGGATATATAAAATTTCTTTTCAATTCATCATGGTGGTGATGGATGTCTGACCATTGAATGAATTAGAATGGATTTCCATGGTAACCTTATTACAAACTTTCACGAAGGCTATTCAAAGGAAACATTTATATTCAGCAACATCATTTTGTGGTGTGGCTGCTTCTTAATGCAAACTTGATGGTGTGAGAATGCAGGTTTGTCTTCACCTATGCTATGGGTGCTGGACCAGTGCCTGGACTTCTCCTATCGGAAATGTTCCCCGGTCGGATTAGGGCCAAGGCGATGTCAATTTGCATGGCTGTCCACTGGGTAACCAGTTTTAACCCTTCTTCCCCTTTAAAAATCTTCTTGTTAGACGGTTTTTGTTGTTGTTGCTTTTGACTTAAATGTGCAAACAATATCACTCAATATTTTCAAATGCATTTCGTATTAATATATATGGTGAACTGCCACGTTACTATTTGGTTTCTCTGTCTTCTGTTTCTCCTTTTTCCTGATTTTTAGAACCACCAGTGACTGTCTTTGGTCTTTGTAACAGATGTTTAATTTCTTAGTCGGTCTGTTGTTTTTACGATTACTGGAGATGCTTGGACCATTACTCCTGAATACAATTTTTGCCACCTTTTGTTCGCTGGCAGTAATATTTGTAAAGAAAAATGTGCTGGAAACTAAAGGCAAAACACTTCAAGAGATTGAAGTTGCACTTCTTCCACCAGGTATGTCAGTTTCTTCTCATTTTCTGAACCGGGTGAACATAGTATACTAAGTCAGATGTAGCTAACTGAACTCTATTATAAATTAGTTTTGTATTATTTTGTTACGACTTTTTATTTTTCTTGAAGTATTCATGTTCGACACCGGTACAATTAAAGTTGAAAACATGGGAATGTACACGTTCTAAAATATTTACTGGTTTTACAGGAGAGCTTTTACAACTGGATTCTGTCAAAGTCCACAATTGAATTGGGGGGGGCATGTTGTTATTCTGCAGGGAGCTGCTGAATATCAAAGTTGTTCATTGCAGTCGATTCTTTTGCATCAAACTTATTTCTGAATACAAATCCAAAGATACTGGCTTTGCTAAACGATGTCATAGATGAAGTAATGAAATGAGACATGTTCACCAGGTGATCACTCTCCAGAGCCAAATGAGCATTATTTATACTTACACACTACACACTGGTTTTCACTTCGACTGTTTTGTACTTTTGAATTTCAATGTAAGTTTAATCCATGATAGAATCTCACTTTCTTGAGTTTTTGAATACTTTGATGTTTTGTTAATTCTCAATGTAAATTAATTCATGAGCTGGTGAGGTTGGCAATGAATTATGAGAAATAAACTTGAAAATTTGGTCTACAATTTAGATTAATATACTGAGTTTACAATCCAATAAGGTATTTCCTGATGTCTTCATTTCTTCTTCTTCTTCTTCTTCTTCTTACTATATTAAATGCTTTCTTTGTCTAGTTTGGGTGACCCAGAAAATAAATAGAAAATGAAAAACAAAACTGAAAAAAGCTTTAGAAATTTAATTGATGAAAATATCAAAGACAAAGGAATCCAAGTGCTCAATTCTATCTAAGAGAGCGAAAAACATAAATTTTGATTTCTAGAAATAGGAAACTATTAACTTCAGTTGAACAAGGTCTGTTTATTTATACTTAATCGACCCTTTTCAAGTAATTTACTTTTAGGGGTTTTTGACTTTGGGTTAAACTGAATCATTCGATTATAAGAAAACGCTTAGAAAAATGGTGTCGATCTGCTATGCTTTCTTGTTCTTCCTTCTCCTCAAGCGAAGTGTTCGATAAAATGCTTCACTGACGAAGAAGAAAGGCCCGGCAAATTCTAATGCTACTGATATTTCCATTTTGCGCGTGATTTTGGTAGTTTGTTTGAGACTGCAGTGATTTATTTTGACAATGGAAAACAAAGATGATGAAGTGAAAAAAGCACAAGTTGTGGAAGCCAGGGCAAGAAATATCAGCCACAACGTGCGATGTACAGAATGTGGGAGTCAGTCCATTGAAGATTCACAAGCAGATATCGCAATCCTCCTCAGGAAGGTACACTATTTTATTCTCTTACAAATGGTTTTGTAAAAGAAAAACAAGTTATTTGCTTCATCACTCTTTTCCGAAGATATTCTTGTTCTGTTCCTTCAATTCTTAATGTCCTGTCATACTTGTTCGTCTATGTTTATTATATCACGACTTTCTAAAAGAGAAAATTCTAAGTTTTATTTTGTTATTGTAGTTAATTCGTGATGAGATTCGAGCTGGAAAGAGTGACAAGGAGATTTACAGAAAGCTTGAAGAGGATTATGGCGAGACGGTACTTTATGCCCCAAAGTTTGATCTGCAGACTGCAGCTTTGTGGCTATCACCGGTTAGTGTAAAATCTTAGGACTTGCAATGTTATTGTAATCTTTACCCGTAGTTTGCATTTAACCTCAAACAGAAAGATATTGGGGACAGCTTCTTGTTGCAGGAGCTGCTGCAGGGGTGTGGGCTTACAAGAAACACAGACAAAAGGCTAATGTGCACATCATGGCTTTGGACCTTGTTAGAAGTGTTCCATTGACCCCCAAGGAGAAGGAAACTATGCTAGACTTGCTCACACCTCCTCCCCCACAAGGTGTCACTCCTTCCTCCTTGTGGAGCCGGTTGCGAGGTAGATGATGTTTCTCAATTTTTCCATCTCTTTCTTACTAGACCTCGAAGTTTCTTTTAATGATGAATAATGTACATGGTGATGAGTCTCGGGTTTGATTATGAAAATTATATTTGCATCTGTTCTAATTATCACACACTAAAGACAAAACTCAAAGCTGTTTACAAATTGATGTTGCTAAACCTGACTTGGATCATATATAAACTTGTGTTTATTATGTTATTTTCATATTTCTTAAAATGTATCGAAACATATTACGTAAAGCAGTCTTCTGGAGAGAAAGGGGTGAAGGTTGGGATTTTATGATATTACGTTGGCGAATGATCGTAATTTCATCACAGGGTGGTAAACAAGAAAGGATTAGCAACCACTTCTCTTTCGGACATTTCTGTCTCTGCTTTCGTTTATTTTTTGGTACAAAAGGAAAAGGCCTTAATAAAAAAAATTGCATCTCATTTCAAATCATAAACACTAAAGAATGGCATATGGCAGAGTTTAGAGAAGAAATTCACACAAGAAAAAGATTTTATATGGTTTCAAAAACTATATTCCCTACTTACTAAACACCAACACTATATATTTATATGTAGCCAAATTTGATCTGCAACGGTAATTCCAAAACACTGCCAAACTAACAAAGATTGATCGGTGTAATCATCTATTATCCTCTTCGGTGCCCATATTAGACAACTCATCTTCCCGGCAAGGCCTTAACCTTTGTCGCTTGTCGTCCGGACGGTCCATAAGCCCAGGCACAGAGGAAGTAATAAAATAGATTGATGAAACTCAATATGGCAAGAACCCAGTAGTAGTTGTCAAATCGACTTTTGTTTATGTTACTCGAGACCCAGCTGTCTTTACCGCCTTTTGAAGTAATGTCATCAATGATGCTCACAACAGCACTCGCTAGCAAATTTGCCACTGCCAACCCCAGTACGAAGAGGGCAGCAGCAATGCTCGACATACTCTTGGGCAACTCAGAATAGAAGAACTCTGTCTGCCCTATTGCAGTGAAAGCCTCAGCTATCCCATTCAAGCAAAACTGTGGCACAAGCCACATAGCAGACATTTTCACAATTGCTTGAGGGTTGTTTTGAAACCCGTCCCGAATTGCTTCCCTTCGTCTTGCGTTCTCGACAATGGCTGAAACTACCATGGCAATGCAGGTAAGAAATAGTCCAATTCCCATCCTTAGTTTGACACCAATCCTTACTGATTTACCCTTCATCTTTGATATCAGAGGGAGAATCACACGATCGTAAAGAATAACCCATAGCGCAAGGGAGATGACGTTGAACATTCCATACGAGCCAGCGGGAATCTGAAACTTTTTTGTAAGGTGTCTGTCCATAGAGCTTGCTTGAAGCACAGGGAATGTATACTGGCTTAAATTGATTGACATTATGATCCCTGTAGACCACAATGGTAAGACCTTAACAAGTGCTTTCAGCTCTTCTACTTGCTCTATTGTGCAAAGACTCCATGGATTGGAGGCTGAGCCGTCCAGGGCAATGTCTTGTTCTGGATTATTGATGATGCAAGCCTTGTTTAAAAATCTAAGAGCAGAACATCAACATCGCAATTAAAACCTGTTAATAACATTGAAGCACAATATTTAAATAGTAACGGATGATGCAATAATTATTTGTACCTTAATTTGTCAGTTGGTACAACAATATTTGAATTTCTCTCGTAATGGTAACTTCCAGTTGAGTTTGGAAGCGGAAATGGTAGATTCCGGTTTTTATAAGCGACGACAATCACTTGTACAAAGCCAGTAAGCAAGCTCTTGCTTGCCGTCTGCTTAATATATAAGGGAGAAGCAAGGAAGCACAATATATAAGGGAGAAGCAAGGAAGAACACAAGTGCGGAGATCAACATTAAGATTGCTGGAACTCCAAATCCTACTCTATATCCACGGTGATCTTGAATGTAACAATGCCCGTCAATGCAATTAGAACAGAAATAGCTACAGAAGCATAATACCAGCCAAGAAGCTCTCGAGGACCCTGTCGTTTTTCGGATTATCGGAAATGGTAGATTCCGGTTTTTATAAGCGACGACAATCACTTGTACAAAGCCAGTAAGCAAGCTCTTGCTTGCCGTCTGCTTAATATATAAGGGAGAAGCAAGGAAGAACACAAGTGCGGAGATCAACATTAAGATTGCTGGAACTCCAAATCCTACTCTATATCCACGGTGATCTTGAATGTAAACAATGCCCGTCAATGCAATTAGAACAGAAATAGCTACAGAAGCATAATACCAGCCAAAGAAGCTCTCGAGGACCCTGTCGTTTTTCGGATTATCTCTTCGGTCCAATTGGTCAGCACCAAATGCTAAGGAGCATGGTCTAACACCACCAGCTCCAATGGCAATGAGAACAAATGAGGAGAATAATAGAGTCATCTGACCCGCTGTTGGAGATCTGCAGCTTTGGGCCATTATGTCGCAGGATGGAGGCTTTGATTGTGGAACCATAGTCGTTAACCATAAAAGTGTCATCCCCTATAGAGTTCGAGGTCAGGATTATTCTCATGAAAATGCATAATAAAACGGAAAAACCAGTGGTTGAAGCTAGTTATATCATATGATCAATATGTTGAAAATTAGGGAAATTTTTTATAATGCATTGGAAATATGAATACCAAGCGTGAATGTATCTATTTGTAGGAATTATAAACAAGTGTCTAAACCTCTAAAGAAAAATAATTGAGATCATACTATATTTAACCAGACGAATAAAACGAAAAATTGTAATCAATACGAGTCTTTATATCATTATTGTGAATTTGCAAACTAGGAGGTGCTAATTAATGGACCACAACAACATTAGCCAAATGAACAGAGAAAGCAAACCAGCACTATTTAGTGTTGGCCCCAAGGGAGAACCTAATCATATGATTCTTAAGCCAAGTAGGTCACCCCCCATCACTAGGATGGGATTGCACCAGGAGACCAGGCTGGACCAGTGTTGAAAAACGCTCTGCATACAGATTTTTCTTCATCACCTAAATAATTGAGTAAGATAATCAAAAAGTAACTGTCGCACTAAACTGTCCAGTTCTGATAGCATACAACGTCTCAATTATTGTTTTGGTTTGGTAAGTGTAGTCAGAGCTGATGACAGGGTGTGTCTGTCAAAGGAAAACTTTTGCACCAAGTCGGTCCACTTGGAAGCATTTTGGTCAGCACCTATGGTCCAAGTCACAATACAGATCAACTTAGGTGCCTAGCTAATTACACTCCCTGGTCCTTAAGCAAAGACGCTTTGATTTAGACTCGTACCATTTTTGTGCCTACAAAAAACTCAGCAAAAGGGCATCCAAAGGGCCATGCACAACTTTTTTTAAAACATAAGTTAAGGAATGATTGTGCTTCGATTGTGAAGCTGGCAAGAAGCAAACTGATCTTAACATTGTGTTTTCTAAAATCCATGCCATTTTTCACTGCCAGCATAGATACTATTGTTAAAATTCAAACAATCAAAAGTTTCAGTAAAATTTGATTGCATAAAGTATTATTGTTTAATTTATCTCAAATTCTTAATTAGAATTTAAACTAAATTTGAAATTTTAAGTTGGTAACACAATTATTAGATGGTTTGGATTGATGTAGAAATATCATCATAGAAAATGTGTGTGTGTTGACATTTCATTAAAACTTTAGTAGAAATTAGAAATCTTACCATGTTGATGTAGAAACCACATTAAAAATATGTGTATATATTTATTGTGTCTACAATGAATTAAGAGAGTTGTAAATTGAGTAAGAAAACAAAGTTGTGAAGTGTGAGTCTAGCATGTAAACTATTTTCATAATAATATTTGGGTATTATAAATTCATATAATGTGCCCACTTTATGTCTCCAACAAGTGGCATCGATGATTAATTCGAGTCTACGTAGTCATAAGAAGATGGCAAAATTGATTCAATAACAAATCCCAAAATTAACAAAGATGAATTATAGAATTTGGAGTATTCAAATGAGTATTCTACTTGGTACGTAAAAATGTTAGGACATCGTTGAAAAAGAATACATCGAACTTGGAGAGAGAGAAAAAACTTGAAATGAGAAGTCAAGTCTAAGAGAGTTTTACAGTTTAAATCTAAATCAAACTCTTAATTAGGACTCATGCAAATTTAAACATTCGAGTTTATAAGACAAGTGTAATGTAGCTTGAACTGATGTAGAAAATTTCATGATAATTTAATATAGAAACCACATGAAAAATATATTTATGTATCGATAGTTCATAAAAAAATTATTAAAAACTACAAATTTTATCATGTTGGTTATGGGTTTTAATTGTATATAATTGAATTATGAGAGAGTTATGAACCAAATAAGAAAGCGAAGTTGTAAAGTGTAAGTCTTGTATGTAAATTAATAGTAGCTAATGTTAGAAAAATATTTATACTTGTAATTTAATTCCGTAACAATATTTATGAGTTACAAATCATATTGTGTGTTTAGTTTACATTTTAAAAATAAATTATATTGTTTTTTGTCTTACTGTTTGAGAAAAAAAATAACCTTTGGTTGAAGAAAGGGGCACTGTAGATTAGTAGAGCTAATGAGCAGCAAACTCCACCCACCTCAACAACCCAAGTGTTGTTAGGTCGAGTGGCAGATGTTTACACTAAATATGAATGAACAAGAAACTAAATGAGAAGAGATAGAGTCGGTCCTCAGTCCTTTATTTAGCACCAATGCCATTAACCCCAATAATGAATGATCAGAGCCCCCTCCCCCAAAAACAATCAGATGTTTCCTATAGTCACGTGGGCTGCCGGCACGGTGACTGGCTCAAACTTAGCAACTTTAATAAAAATAAAACAGGATCCCGAGGGACATTCTTCCTTAAGCTAAAGCTGGTCATCATCTCCTAATGAATTAATATATTGTTTTAGAACTTGTCAACATATTATAATTATTGATTATTTCACTTAGAAGCTACTCTTCCGACTACACTACACATGGAAAACAATAAGAGCATCTATAACATGAGAAAAAGATTGAGGGGGGAAAAGGGTTACCAGGAGACTACAAATGGAGCCCAAGCCAATGGTTAGGAAACGACCCAGATGTGAATCAGCGACAAAAGCACCCAATATAGGTGTGAAATTGGTAGCAGCTTGCCAGAAAAACAGAATATTGGTGCCTTTAGCAACACCCACGTGATAATCTTTGATCAGATACAGTATCATGTTGGGAACCAGCCCATAGGCTGCCACTTTCTCAAATGATCCATTCGCTACATTTCGAAAACTGGAAAATCTCAACATTTTGGTGTTTCAAAATCGCCCTGAAAAACTCTTCTAACTATTTGATGTGGGTACCAAGCTTTTTGCACTAACCACAAAAGAATGGTAAAACCCAGAAACAAAAAAGACTGAAGACTAAAGCAAAAAGTATTCACCAGAAACATGGTAAAAGAAAACTTGATACAAACACATAGTACCTATTATGAATGGCATTGTAATGAAGCCACCCTTGTGTCTTCCAGGCATTTGTTGGTGAGGTATTTCTCTTTGATATGAAGAGTCCTCCATTTTGCAATCTTCCATGGCTGAAGTCTGCTAGCTTTGCTCCTTACAAAACAGGGGGAACAAAAATGGAGAAAGCAGATGAAATGAAGTTTTCAAGCGTTTGGGTTTTTAAACCCAAAAAGGAACAGTTGATTGTGTGTAACGTCTGATAAATAAATAAATAAATGGCAAAAAATAAAAATAAAAAACAAGAAAAACATGATATATATATGGAGATAGATAACATTTTATTACGTTGTATAAAACTTTTTTAGTTTTAAATAAATTTAAGATCGTTAGATTAGTGGAAATAGACACTTTAGTTTAACAACATAAAATAATAAGATATTCACTGAAAAAATATAATAAATTAATGTCAGTATTTTATTTCAATTTATCCAACGATTTTAAATTTATATAAAACTAAAAAAAATTGATACCAAATATTTAGAGGTTATAAATTCTTTGAATTGTGTTATAAAATGGGTATCGTATCTCTAGTTGTTATTAAAAAATGATGTCACACTAAAATTAATTGATAATATCTCATTTAGTCCTTCAAATATAATTAAAATTTTATTTTTGACATTTTTCTAATATTTTTAGATAACAATTCTAAAAATTCATTAAATCTCATATTTTATTTTGAAAAGAATTTTGAGAAAATCTTTTACAAATCAAAAAAAATTAAGTTACTTAATTATTTTATAATTTGGTCTTTAGTTTTCTTATTTCTTCAATTTCTCCTTCATTTAATTTTATTTTGATCTAATTTGAACTACATACTTCTAAAATACTTTAGAATACATGTCTAATTACAGTTTCTCTTCTTGACAATTTTTTATTTTATTTTTCAATATTTAAATTTTTTATAATAAATTTCCTCTATTTTTCCAATTTAATCTCTTAACTTAAGAAAAATAAGTAAATGCATACGAGTTAACATTTTAGGGTTTAAGGTTTAGGGTAAGTAAAACGTCAATACATTCGTGATTAAAATTTACTTTAAGAGGACGTGCACATATAATTTTTACTTGAATTTCACTATATAATCTAACATAAAAATAGGTTTAAAAATAAGGTAAAGTATATAAATGATCTCCCGACTACATGATGTTGTTTTGTTGAGTCTCTCAATTATTAAAAGTTGCAAAATGATCCTTTAACTATATAACGTAGTTTTGTTGAGTTCCTCGACTATTAAAAGTTACACAATGGTCACTTGATTATTTATATGTTCCAAAGTCATCCTTTTTTAAGAAAAAATTAACGGTATTCTGAGCTGAACGTTAACATGATGACTAAGATATGATAGTCGTTTGAAATTTTGGGATCATATTTTAACATATCTCAGTCAACAGATTAACGTCCAGCTCAAACTGCCGTCAAATTTTTTAATGAAAAAGCACGAGTTTGGAACATATAAATAGTTAAATGATCATTTTGTAACTTTTAATAGTCGGAAGATTTAATAAAACAACATCCTATAGCGAGAACCATTTGTGTGTACTTTATCCCTCTAAATATAGGTGGTTTGGAGGAAATTCTTCATTGTTAATGTTGAGAGGAGATAATTGGCACAAGCAATTTTAGACCTCAATAATCAGGTGTTTATATTGTTGCCAGAAAGGATTAATCTTTTCAACTGGATTATATTTTTTAATAGTTTGAACTGAAATTAAATTTAAGCAATGATAAGAATATATTACAATATTTTATTTTCCGAGAAGATAAAAAAACATTGTTGTTGTTAAATTTTTTTATTTACATGTTAATATAAAAATATATGTTATTCGTCAATTATTATCTTTCGAAATATTTAAGATTACAATATCTAAAATTATCTTTTATTTTTGTTCTAAAATGAGTCTGATTAAGTTAAAGTCTTTAAATGCTAAATATTAGACATTTTGACCACGAGATTCTCAAATTTTATAGTGTTAAAATATTAATTTTTTAATTATTTGAATATAACATTTTAAATATGTACTTATTACATAATTAGAAACAAAATTTATATATATGCATCTCGTCGTCGTCGTTGGATTTGTACTTGTGCAAATAAGTGTCGTGGACACGTACTGCATGTATTTTTTTTTGGGACACAGTTTTTTTGAGCTTTTTACATTTTTGCATTTCATCTATTTTTGTTATTATTTAATATTTTATAGTCTCTTTCAAGTGTACCGTCACGTAGGTGAAGGCATAGTTTCAAAGACACGTCTAACATTACAAGGATTCATCTTACATGACACAGAAATATATCAATCTAAAATAATTTTTAATAAATATTAATTAAAAAATAATTCTAACCAGATATTGTAATAAAAGAAAATCAATAAAAACATCGTTTTATAATTATATTTTGAGGAAAAAAGAGATCATGCGTAACTGTTGTGTCAAATACTAATGAACAAATATTATATAATTCATGTTAAAGTTTTTTTTGTTTTGTTTACTGTGCATCTTTCAAGTTTACACTTTGCATGCTATGTAAATAGTGTGTCACCCACTGTTGAGTGTTGAGTTTCAGATATCTGTCAGCCGTATGAAAAATTGGAATTGAAAAGTGTCGACACCGTTTTTCGTTCGGGCGGAGAAAGATCGATATCGACTCAGAGTTTTCTCTTTGAAAAAATGTTTCGAAATGTGAGGAATCGCAATCAATCAGTTAAGGTGCGATTAGAACACCGTAAAAACACAGGGTGATTTTAATAAAAACATTTATTTTAATAAAATATCAAGTTTTGGGGTATACGAAAATCCAGAAATCAGATTCGGGAGTCGGTTACGTGTGGGGAAGGATTAGCACCCCCACAAGCGTGCCCAAAAATTGGTACCTAGTTGATTACCCTATATTTAAAATTAGAAATTTTGAGTTCGATCTTTATTTAATTTAAAAATCATTAAGGATACAAAGTTGAAAAGGGTATTTGTTTATTGAGTCCGGTAGCATTCGCCCCCGAGCGTAAATGCGGGAGATCAACTATTATGTCTAATAACCGAACATTGCTGTAGACACTAATTTTCGTCGACATATTTTTCCTTTATATGTACATACATATATATATATATATATACATATTTTAAAACTACGTATATAATATATAATTTTTAATAGTTTTTAAAACCATATAATGTATAGTTTAAAAAAAACATTTTAAAAAATATATATAATATATAATTTTTTAAAATCATTTTGAAAACTTATATATATATAATTTTTGAAAACATTTTTGAAAGCACATATATTATAGTTTTGAAAATATTTTTGAAAACATTTATATATTATATAGTTTTTAAAACATTTTGAAAATAAATATAATATATAGTTTTTAAAACATTTTTGAAAACATATATATTATATAGTTTTTGAAAATATATATATATTATAGTTTTTTAAAAAAATATTTTAGAAATTTATATATTATATATGTTTTTGAAAATATTTTTATTTTTATTATTTATTATTATTATTATTTTATTTTATGTTATTTTATTCCTTATTTTTATGCTTTGTTTGTTGTTCAGGATCCAGGGTCCAAAAATCCAATTGTGCAGGTCCAACAGTAGGGCCTGACCCAGCCCAGGAACAAAGTCCAAAAGATTAGGGTTTCCACGTTAAGTCCAGCGCCGCATCAGATCATGGACCGTTGGATATGACCCAATCCAACGGTCAAGGTCAAGGGTTACAGAGGATCGAAAGTCACTGGCCGGCCGAGTATTTCGACGATGTGCAACACCAAAACCGGAACTACTCGGACTGAACCATCCGAGATCACCGAGAACGACCCCGGAATATCCGGGATCGACCCCAAAACAGTCGGAAACGGACCCCCATCGGGGCCTATAAATACAACGGAGAGAACCCCGAGAAGGAGGAGGAGACTACAAAAGGATCGAAACCACACACAAAAAACACCAACAACCAAACGCTACGATAAAACCAAGAGAACAAGCAAAACAACGAAACACAAAGGCCAAACGCCGAAGAAAACACCGGGAAAGTGAAAGGCCATCAAAGGTAACATTTTCTGGGTAAGAGGTCGTAAGGTTTCTGTGTATGGTTGGTCTGCGTCTGAAAGGAGAGAAGAGGAAGAGGAGAGAACGGCCAGATTAGGGAAATAAGGGAGAGTGATAGCCAAAAGCGCATATAAGGGGTATATAAACCCCCAAAACGACGCCGTTTAGGTGAGTCTAGGGCATCTCTCGGGTCAACGCATGGGTAAACCGTGTTCTAGGTCCCTGTAAGTTGTACCATTTGTATTTTGGTCACTAGAATAATTTTCAACAGCTTCGATTGGGATTTCTAATTTTATTTTGTTTGTATTTTAGTTATTCCGAATTTAGGCTTAATTATTGTTTGGCCCTCCTAACTCTTTACTCTTCGTTTTTGCAGCCTTCATTTTATTTTAATTTAACCCCTTAATTTGTTTTGTTTCGATTTAACCCTATAAATTTTTATTTGATTTATTTTAATTGTAATTATTATTTTTATTTTAACATTTTTATTAGTATTTTTTCTCTCATTTCCCTTAAATTATTTATTATTTTTATTTTGTTTTTTTTTTTTTTATTTATTTAATATTTTCCTCTTTATTCATTTTTTTCCTCATTTTTTTCCTCCTTGATTTATTATTTAGTTAATTTTATTATTATTCTTTATTCATTTTTAACATATCTATCTCTTTAAGGATCTTCGTTTCATCCGATCAAAGGTAAGTACTTCGAATCGGGTAATTTAAATTTTAATTTAAAATTTTCAATTTTCGCAAAAAGACAACGGCAAATTAATTGGTACCGAAAGGGCAGTTCAAGGGTGCTAATCCTTCCTTGGCCGTAACCGACTCCCGAATCCGACATATTTTTGGTACAACGTAGATCAGGTAAGATGGTGTCCGATCTACCTAAATTCGTTTTAAAATGATCGGTGGTGACTCTTAACCATTTATTCAAGTCGAAGCCCAATTCCGGGGCCCAACCGAAAGACGGTTACGACAGCTTGGCGACTCCGCTGGGGACAGGTAAGTGAGTCAGGCCAGAATTAATTTTCCGTTGTCTTTTTATGCGAAAATTGTAAATTTAAATTTT